TTATAAATCTAAATTAAATTATCTATCTATACTATATTGTAAAATATTTGACAAAAACTCTTAAAAACTATTTTTTATGCATGAAGTATTGTTTATTAATGCATATTACTTAAAATTCAATTTTACAAGTAATTTTGCGTAAATACAATCTATTAAAGCTTCATTTTTAAATTCGTGTAACTAACTGTAGATAAACATAATCAAATACAGGATAAACATTCATTTTAAATATAATTTTTTTAAATATAATTAAGATAATCATTGAGTTCTAACATTATCTCTATAAAAAATATATTATTAAATCAAATATAAATTACTGTATTATAAATCTAAATTAAATTATCTATACTATATTATAAATCATTTGACAAAAACTCCTAAAAACCACTTTTATGCGTAAACTACTGTTTATTAATGCATATTACTTAAAACTCAAGATTGCAAGTAGATTGTGCGTAAATACAACTTGTTAAAGCTATATTTTTTTTTCATGTAACTAAATACAGATAAACATAATCAAATACATGATAAACATCTCATTTTAAATATAAAAAATTTAAAATATAATCAGGTAATCATTGAATTCTTAATTATTATCTCTATAAAATTTATAATATTAAACCAAAAATGAATTATTTCATTATTAAACTTAAATTAAATTATAATAAAAAATAATTTAAGAAATCTATACTATCTTATAAAGCATTTGGCTAAAACTCTTAAAAACTCTTAAAACTCTTAAAAACTCTTAAACCCGTTCATCCCTATCCGATTTCATCTCATATCCCATATCTGAATTCGTATAACGAACTGCAGATAAACACAATCAAATACAGGATAAACATCTCATTTTAAATATAAAAAATTTAAAATATAATTAGTATAATCCTTAAATTATAACAGAATACTTAATTATTATCTTTATAAAATTTATAATATTAAACCAAAAATAAATTATTTTATTATTAAACTTAAATTAAATTATATAAAAAAAATATTCTATATTATAAATCCTTTGACAAAAACTCTTAGAAACCACTTTTTATGCGTAAAGTACTGTTTATTAATGCATATTACTTAAAACTCAAGATTACAAGTAAATTGTGCATAGGTACAACTTATTAAAGCTCCATATCTGAATTCGTGTAACTAACTGCAGATAAACACAATCAAATACAGGATAAACATTTCA